AAAAATCGTTCAGTAGCAGTGCCAATGTCTCCTAACCTAACCCCTTTCTGGGGCAGTGGCTCAATAATGGCTCCTACTGAATTTCAGCACCATTTTTTGCTGAATCCTGGGTTGTCCTTTTGAGATTTCCTAACTAAGCACTAACCAAGACCAAACCTGTCTTCCTTATGCAACCTGATAAGATCACAGCTGAAGGTGGTATGGCTACAGGCCACAAGGATTTTCATTATACTGTCTCTACTAGTATGCATACAATATATATTTGCTTACAAAGGTGGGCTGGCACATAAACATCCATGAACTAAACATTTTCTAGATACAGAAGCCTTTGATAACATTCTCTCTTGGAACAGCAATGACATTACCCCCTACTGACCTAATATCTATATTTATATTGCATAACTTAATGGTTCTAAAATATCTATTATAGCACTGAGGTCATGACTCGTGCGTGACCAATGCAATAAAGACACAGCCAACATATGAATAGCCCTGTCTACTCTACCACTGTAGTTTTAATTGTGCAGCACAGGTTGCATCCACAGAACACAATTTTGAAACCATGCTACAGCGATTAACTGGTTACACAGAGTTAAAAGGTGCCCATTATTATAGTACAGAATCAAGGTTCTATCCATTCACATAATTAAAATATTATTTTTCCCCTGAATAGGGGACATATACTTTACATTACCCCACACTGTCCAATAGAACTCTTCCCCCGTATGATTCCTGTCCCTCCTTTCCCTCTCAGCCCCTCCTTCAAAACAAAAAATAACCTATCAAGGCAATGCCAGCTAAAAGAGCATCATGGCCAACAGTCTATCAGTGCCTACAGAAATCATGGCTGGGGTGTGAGTCTTAGCTTTGCCTTGATTAGTACAAATTAGTGGTTTTTTTGTTGTGAGTAGGAGTCTTATCTGTCGGCTTGTTTTCCTAATTAGTTAAATCAAAATTTTCTCTGCTTTACCAGAGTATTTTTACACCAAAAGTATACAGTACACTACACTATCGTATATAGTTCAATAACTTTTATGAAAAAACACAACAGGCGATGGTGACGGGGCAGCTTTTGACTACTGAAATCTGACCAGTTGTGAAGTATTTGGAATGATCCTCAGTGATCATGTCCTTACTTCTGAAGTTTCACCTGTTTTTGATGTCAAGCACAAGACTGATTATTCATCTACATTTCAGTCTGTTAGTTTCTAATGACTAGGATTCCAGAAGTTAAAAAGTCTAAGAGTTTTATTAACAAGGCATTAGAACCTGTAAACATTCTTTTACAATATTTTAAATGTTAAAAGTGCTGCATTTGTATTCCTCCCCTTCAGAAAACATTTATTTTTATCTCTTGTCCTTGATTCTTCAAAGTGTTCTCTCTGATTTACACCCCAGGGAATGTGGGGGGAGGGAGAATACAATCTTGGCTGATGCAGCCTTGCCTGCGGACTCTTGCCTAGAGAAAAACCTTGCAGGTTAACACAAAGGAGGAGAACGGGTGTTTGGGGTGGGGGTGGGGAGGGGAATCAGAGTATATCAGGAGGTAAACGTGACTGAGAGCAGCTCCACAAGCTCCAAAGCCCTGATACAAAAGCAACTGACAGGAAACAATTGTCTCAACAGAAGCCGTCATTTACAAATGCCCCTTCGTTTCTCTGCCTCCTTCGGTTAGCAGGGAGAGGTAGAATCAGACCTTCAGGTCCCCACCTTTGAGAATGTTGCCCTCGAGGAGAAAGCATTCTTAAAACTACCATGAATAGGAAAAGACTTTTGCGAAAAAGTGAGGAGGACAAACTGTGCAATGTTGGGAGAGAGGGAAGAGACGAAATAAACAGCCCTGCAAGATGTGGCACCCTGCCCACCAAATCAGAAAGGGGCATGTGATTAAAAAAAGAGCACATTTAGTTGGCCTGGACTAACTAATTCATCCCTGGACTAACTCCATTACAATAAATGGAATTACGCAAGTGATTACTTTAGCTCATTGTATGAAACTCACTTACCCCATTACAAATGTTAAACCTGTGCTTATACATAGATACTGATGGCTCAGTCCTGGACCCATGTTATTCCCTTGATTGCTTTGGGTGCATGATTGGTGAATTAACTTTGGCAACACTCATACACCTTATTAGAACAATAATGTTTTTGGAAATGAACTGGGAACAGAACATTACAATAAATAACAGAATTTTGTAAAGAAGAATTGTATATATAAAATAAAGTTCTGGCTTATTAAGAGCAGAATGTAGACAATTTTTTGCAGACTATGGGACAGACAAAGAGTTTGAAGTGGTTGGTGTGTAAACAGTCTCAAGGTACTCCCTGTTTGAGTAGTACAAAACTTTCAGTACAAAAAGTGAAATTTACCTAGCTGGGATTCTGTTACAAATTTGAAACAACACACATTGGTTGGAAAAATCACTAAGACTAGCTTGATTTGGCACAAATTTGGTCTCAGTTTTGAGTAAACGAGCCTGAAGCAAAAGTACGAGACCCAAATCCCCTCAAACTTTGGGGAAATTCAGATCTTGATGGAAGTTTGCAGTTTGATCTTGATGGAAGTTTGCAATTTGATCTTATCTCTAATTTTGAGTGATTGTGGGCCGGGTTATAGTTTCATACTGAACTCAAATTGAACTTACAGCTTCACAGTTTCAATGCAAAAGAGGGTGAAATATGGCAGCTTTGAACTTTGTTTTGAGCTTCTAATTCAAATGCACTTTACTCAAAAGCAAAGGAAAGGTTTTGTATGGACCGGTGTGAAGTAAAAAGGAGTTTCACAGAGATCCACTCTCTGTGGCACAATGTATCTTTAGTGCACAGACATATTCCATCACTAAATGTTTTGACTCTCAACTGTATATAGAGGTCCTCTTCCACCCAGGTGTGGAGGACCCATGCAAGGCTCTCTGTACCACATAAACCATTGTGTTACGCACAAAGGGCACAGGGGGAAATTGTGACTCTGCAGCTCCTGTTCAATGCAGAGGAGATCATGGGGCACAGGTAAGGGCTACTGGATCTGAAATTACATAGATCCAGTGACATAAAATCCCCACACTATGGGTGCATTGGCAGCCTTGCAGCCTGCTCTCAGGTTGGGAGGAGTGAAACCAATCTCCAAGCCCCCATATAAAGTCTGACTATTCTGGCTTTGTGTGTGTATGTAGGTGGGGTTGAGTTTCATCCATAGAGCATATTTTGAAATAACTGAGAAAAGGAGGCCATTAAGCACAGCCCCCATTTCTGAAGAATCCCTGTTCAAAGGTGACTAGCACTCTAAGTATGGAAGGCAGGTCTCACCCGCTCCTTCAGCAGTTTTCATTGTACAGATTCCAGATTTCACAGGAGAGAATTCTATTTTATCTTGCTTCCTCACACCCATAACCATCAACTAACATCACCTTTCAGGTCAGAGCCTATTTTGCCTGTATTGACTGCTCCTCCTCCAAATGTGTGTTTTTTGCTTTGGCTCTGGGGGTCTATTGGCCCTTTAGGGTACATCTACCCTGTAATAAAAAACTGCATCATCAAGTCTCAGAGCTAAGGTCAATTGACTTGGGCTTGTGGGGCTTGAGCTGCGGGTCTAAAAATTGCAGTGTAGACATTCAGGCTTGGGTTGGAGCTTGGGATCTGAGGGTATGTCTATACTGGAATAATATACCAACTACATGGCCGCAGCTGGCCCAAATCAGCTGACTCAGGCTCGTGGTGCTTGGGTTGCGAGGCTAAAAATTGCAGTGTAGACATTTGGGCTTGGGCTGGAGTCTGGGCTCCTGGACCCTCCCCTCCTTGCAGGATTCCAGAGCTTGGAATGTCTACACTGCAATTTTACATCCCCCACAGCCTGAGCTCCATGAGCCAGAGTCTGCTGTCTTGGGCCAACTGTGGGTGTTTACTTGCTGTGTAGACATACCCTGAGGCCCACCCTTCTTGTGGGGTTTCAGAGCCTAGGCACTAGCCTGAGCCTGAACATCTACACTGCAATTGTTAGCCCTGCAGCCCAAACCCTACAAGCCTGAGTCAGCTGACCCAGGCCAGCTGTGGCCTGCTGTGGGTCTATTGCAGTGTAAATGTACCCTTGGACCCTTAATCAAGCAGTTTACTTGGAATTGAATATTTCAGCCAATCACTCTGAAAGAGGAGAAACTGCCCTATTTGTAAAGGCAATCAGAGCTGAATTGGGAACTTATATCAAGACATATGGCCACACTTCTCCAAAACTGCAGTGGATGTGTTGAGCCTGCCTGGATGTGTTGAGATTTCTACATAACAATATAAGAATGGCCATACTGGATCAGACCAATGGTCCATCTAGCCCAGTATAATGTTTTCCAACAGTGGCCAATATCAGATGTTTCCAAGGGAATAAACAGAACAGGATAATCATCAAGTGATCCACTCCCTGTCATCTAGTCCCAGCATCTGGCAATCAGAGGCCTAGGAACACCCAGAGCATGGGGTTACAGCCCTGACCATCTTAGCTAATTTTTGCTATTGTTACGTTCCTCCTTGAAGCATTTCTGATCTTAGGTCCATTTCATCAAGTTATAAACATCTATGCATGGTTGTAAAAAGAAACAGATGAGGTGTCTTATAAATGCAAAAGGACTGGAGCATCAAAACCTTGTAAATAAGATGTATGGCTATGAAATCTAAACTCTACATAGGATCAGTTTCTATCCTTTCAGCAGAGAAGGGACATCACCCCTTCAAGTGGGTGGGAGGAAAGACTTTAGGCAATAAAAATGGAACACACATGGCTAACTAATCTGCAGCGGCTGAGAATGTTTCTCACTTTCTTCAGTGTGGAATAAATAAATCACACTATCAACATGAATGGAAAACTTATCCTCCTTTTGTCATCATATATCAAGTTGACCTGACATCCATTACTCAGTCTGGTTCAGTTAAAGTTGCTTAAAAAGTGTATTTAAAAGGACCCCTTTAAACAACTGAATAAATGCTGTTTAATTTTTTTTTTATCCTTCCAGATTCAAAGTCAGAAGGTTGAAACATTGGATATTTACAGATGTTCAGAACTTCCCATGATTAGGAATTGATCCACTAAAGAAGTAAGTACTTTCTATTTATGTCAACAAAGATGATGGGGACGATATCGTCAGAAGACAATGAACAGTTTTCAGTGTCAACTCCTCCAACCTCCTGGGACCAACCTGGGGTCTACAGAAGGGGAGCCCTGCAGTAGTGGACTTCACTAGGGGACTGATCTCATGCCTCTCCACTTCAAGGGGCTTTTGAAGGCCCTGGGGCAGGGGCTCCTCCCATGCTGATATTAGCAAGTAGGCCAGCTGCTGAAAGAGCCCTGTCAAATCTTGGTGCTCAACTGGCCAGGCCCCATATACTGCAGGCACTGGCAAAATGATCATGTCGGAGAAGAGGGGTTGACCACGAGATATAATACATAACACTTTAAACACCAGAACTCTGGCATGGAACATTTCATTGTTTTGTCTTCACAAATAATATTTTCTCCATTAGTTTTTGTGTTGTAAATAGAAACATTTATGAGGAATGCAAGAATAAATATGTTATTCTTTTTTGGATTAATTTCCAAATTAGCATATGCATGAGAGGTTGTAAACATCTATAAATGTGCAAAGCTTCAGCTTTCTGATTTTCTGTATTATGAAGCTAGAAGGATAAAAAAAAGTTTTTGTTTTTTTTTATTTAAAGCCACCTTTGCCACCCGCCAGCCCTTGTGCCAGCCACAGAACAGCCAGACCAGAGATTCACAGTCATAAGATACTTTTAGATATGGACAATATTTGTATTATTATTTGAATTTCTGTTTTCAGTATATAAAGACCAGTCCGCAAGAAGGACCATGGTTTGCTATTTACCCTCCAAACTAACTCCTATGTGACAGGTTTCCTGAAGTAATCTGCAGCTTGAACCCATGGATTTTAAATTCAGCACTAGATCTCAGAGAAGGGAAACTCCACTTCACTGATGTCAACATGCTGTTGATCTTCTAGTGTATATCACTCTCCACCAGGGGCGACGGAAGCTTCCTAAAAGTGGGGGGACCATCGGTGTTAAAACCATGGCTCTGCCCCCCACCCCGCCCCTTCTCCTGAGGTCCCACCCCCACTCGCTCCTCTCCACCCTCTCTCCCCGTGGCTCGCCCTTACAGCTGGTAAAAAGTGATGGTGCCATGGCCCCCTGGTTCCCCCCACCCCCCTGGCACCCCTGCTCTCCACAGAGGCACATGCATCATCTGGAGGCTGCATCATGAAGGCACACTAATGTAATCACACAGCACTGCTCACTACTGCCCCAAGCACTGCCATTAGCTGCAGGGTCACCACAGGACACTTAGGTAATTGGTCGTGGCCTATACGAGTTCTTGTAATAAAAAAATTGAGTTCACTGTTTTGGATGGGAACAAGGGTTACTGATGTGATGTCCTGGGAATAACCCTTCCAGATTTTTGATTAGGTATGGGACAACTAAAGAGCAGACTGCACCTAGGGAATGCATCCCAGGATGTACATTGAGCCAAGTGCATGTTGGGACAGAACTTTGGGGGTTTAGTCAAAGCATGCGAATGATCATGATCAATAAAACTCATGGTTTAAGGACCTCACTAGCAAGTCCAAATGCCTTGGATTTAAAGAGCTCCCATTAATATGGGACAAATCCTCATATGGATAGGAGGATCACTTAGCTGAACTCCTGTGTCAGCAACACTTATCAGTATTAATTTACAAAAGGCAACATTGATATTGTATTGTTAATGTGTGCACTCAGGCAAATTGATACATATTCTTTCTTTGTCAGGACTCAAGATATACAGCATAGTTTGCACTGTATCAAACTACCTCAAGGATAAGAACAGACCACCTAATGAGTGGAGCTGAAAGCACAGTGAAGCAATTGTAACCCTTCTGCCAGGCCAAGTTGATAGCAGCAAGGGCCGGGTTCAGTACACAGGGGTTCCCTCTCATCAAAGCAAATGCAAAACTGGCTCGAGCCCCCACCCAGTGACCTGGAAAAATCTTACACACCCCCTGGGCGCCTCAAAGAGGCAATACTTCCCCTCTCGCAAGCACAGAGTCTCGGTGTAGCAGAGAATCTTTAATAACATGAGGTAAACGACATCAGCATTAAATTGGGGAAACACCACAACTAGTGTTCATTAACCAAACCATGAGCAAAGACCCACCCCAGCAAATTGGGCCACATCCTTTCCCTCGGGTTCTTGAGTCCCAGAACCCAAACGTCTCTTGAGTCCAGCAATCCACAAATCACCCAAAGTTCAAAAAGTCCAGCCCCAGAGTTCAAAAGTTCATCTGCAGAGTGTTGCCCCCCAGTCTGGCTAAAATGTGCCTGTGTGTGCGGGGAAAGAGATAAGGGGCACCTTACGTGTCCTGAAGCTGACTGCCCCACAGGGCTCTGCTCCGCTCAGCTGTCTCACGACCGGCTCCGCTCTGCACAGCTCGCCGTCTCACGAACACTTCACTCCACCATCTCACAAACAGCTCTGCTCAGCTCGCCGTCTCACGAACACTCCGCTGTCTCACAAACGGCTCCGCTCTGCACAGCTCACCTCGCTGTCTCACGAACACTCTGCCAGCCTATCCACGAACAGCACCACTGCACTCTAGATCTTCCAGCTCCCCACTACTTGACACAGTGCTCAGTGATTCCAGCTCTCAGTGATTTCAGCTCATAGTAGTGGGAGCCTTAGTGCTGGTGCACCATAAGGCTAAAATGAATTCAGCACAGTACCTGTAGCAAGACTCTTAATAGACCCAAAATTAGCTCTGACATTCTACAGTGGAGAGAGACAGAGGTGCAATTGGTGTTTCGGGCCCACATCACCAGATACAAATACCTGTCTCAAGCCTCTCTCAATTCACAGAGTTTTGGAACCCATGTCCCTTGCCTAGCGAGTGCTACTTAGTTGATGGTGAGTCCCTCCATCATAACAAAAGGCCAAGTACAGTTCCAAACACAGTTCCCATAATCAGTTAATAACAATTTATTCTTCCCACCCCAATAACAGAGACACTGGGGATCCCACAACAGCCAAAATGACCATTTGGGCAGTTATGGCCTCATTCTAGGCAGGGTGGGTGTGCCTATGCAAATGAGATCAGCCCCTGAAGTTCTTTTCCACAGCTTGCCACACCTCACCACCAGATGTCAGGGTGGAGCTCATCCTGACTCTGCTTACACAATGAAAGGAGATTTCAGGACCTGTCAGCTGTATGACTCAGTGGCACAGGAATGACCAGGGCTGGCCTTACCATGAGGCGAACTGAGGCGGCTGCCTCAGGTGCCAGACTGTGGGCGGGGGGGTGGAGCCACTAGGACCCAGAGTGTAGAAATTGTGTCTGCTGCTGGTGCATATGTATTCTCTCTGCTCTAGATGCACAGAGATGGTGGAGTGCTGTGCTGGAGAAAGGAGGGCACAAGAGACATAACAGGCAGGCAGGAGAAAAGGTGAGAGGGAATAACAGAAAGCAGCAGGAGCTGCAGGGAGAGAGAGTAGGAGGAGTCTCTTATGTACCTCTCTAGCACCCCTAGGAGCCTGGACTGATTAACACCAGCTTCTCAAGGAGCTTCCTATTTCCTGCTGCTTCCCTGAACCCACTTGAGGAGAACAGGCAGTCAATTGAAGTAGTAGGAGCCAGTTAGGCCCTTAAGACGCTGATATCTTCCCTCACCCAGGCCCTGCTACCAGCCTGCTTATTTGTCCCCTTCAGTTGAGTGTTGAGAGCCACTATAGCCAGCACAGAACAGCAGCCATGAGTGAAAGAAGAAAACACGCCTCTGGGGCAGCATTCCAAAGAAGAAAGAAAGCAAAGGAAGCTTTTCTATCTAAACAGGAAGGAGCTCTCCTGAGATACATGGACACAAATGTTCACTGTGAGCCTTCTGGCCCCAGTGAGCATGTGAGTGGTGAGGAGATGCCTGATCTTCCAGTTAGTCAGAGTGCAGGTGACCTGGCAGCTACTGCAGCATCCATATCTCCATCATAAATGGATGTAACCATGCACATTCCTGAAGAAAAGTGTAGATCAGAGAAGAGTGTGGTGGAGGCACAAGAAACAGCTGCTGCTGAGTTTAGTTCCTTAAGTCTAGATGATCCAAGACTGTGGACCCACTTGAGCAGTAGCCTGAGGGACTTCCTTGTTCTGCATGGGCCACAGCAAGTGAAAAACTTCACATTCCCCAAAGACAATGAAAATAGAAGTTTCCACCCAACACATTACTGGCATGAAATCCCCAATGGTGACAAAGAGGAGAGGCCATGGCTTATGTACTCAAAAACCCAGAATGCCGCATACTGTTTTTGTTGCAAACTCTTCCAGTCTAATGTTCCAGCCACACTGGGTTCTATAGGAACAAAGGACTGGAAAAATCTGGCTAGAAATCTGGCATAACATGAGAAGGCAGCAAATCACAAGAGAGCATTCGATAGGTGGAAAGAGCTTGAGATGAGACTAAGGTTAAAGGCCACCATAGATGATCAGCATCAAGAGAAGATTGCATCAGAGTCTCTTTACTGGCAAAATGTTCTGAAAAGGCTCATTGCCATTGTGAGAATGCTTGCTACCCAAAACCTAGCACTGCGTGGCCCTTCAGATCAGCTGTATGTGCCAAACAATGGAAACTTCCTTAGAATTGCAGAGCTGATGGCTGAGTTTGATGCTGTACTCCAGGAGCATCTAAGAAGAGTCACCACCCAAGAAATGTACACACACCACTACCTTGGAAAAACAATTCAAAATGAGATCATACAGTAACTGGAAACAAAAGTCAAACAGATGATTGTGGCAGATCTGAAGTCAGCAAGATATTACTCTGTTATTCTGGACTGCACACCTGACATCAGCCAACCGGAACAAATGACTTTAATGGTGCGTTTTGTAACAACAACAGAACCTAGTGAAAATGTCGCTGCAATGGTGACAATGGTCAGTCAGCATTTTCTAGAATTTATTGACATTGATGATACTACAGGAGCTGGTATGATAAATGTGCTTCTTAAAAAGCTGGAAGATATGGGAATTGCGATAGCTGACATGAGAGCTCAGGGCTACGATAATGATGCCAACATGAGAGGAAAGAACAGAGGAGTGCAGACACGGATCTGAGAGTTAAACCCTCAAGCTTTTTTTGTCCCATGTAGTTCTCATTCATTGAACTTGGTAATCAGTGATGCAGTATCAGCTTCTAGTGAGGCTGCTGAATTTTTTAATGTAATTCAAAGCATCTATGTATTTTTCTCTGCATCAACTCATTGATGGCAAATTTTGAAGCAACATCTGGGAACATCCTCTCTGACACTGAAACCACTGAGTGCCACAAGATGGGAAAATCGAGTGGAGGAGATAAAGCCTATCAAACACCAGGTTGGGAAGATAGATGATGCCACAGTTGCCATTATGGAGGATAATGCTATGACAGGACCTGTTCGTGGGAGAACAGGGGCAGAGGGAAATGGAATCACCAAAAACATACATAACTTCAAATTTCTATATGGCTTAGTGTTGTGGCATGACATACTGTTTGAAATAAAAGTTGTAAGCACGAGACTCCAAGGTGTTGACCTTGATATATCTGGAGCAATGGAACAATGGGACAAAGCAAAGTCCTACCTACAGTCTTACCGGTCAGATGAGGGATTTCATAATGTTCTGAAGCGTGCACAGAAATTGGCAGAGGAACTTCACACTGAAGCTATTTTCCCACCCATTCAAGAATACAAGAGTCACCGAAGAAGAAGACATTTTGATTATGAGGCATGGGATAATCCCATAAGAGACCCCAAACAACAATTCAAAGTTGAATTCTTTAACCAGGTGCTAGATTGTGCAATACAGTCAGTTGAAGAATGTTTCATGCAGCTCAAGGAACACAGCAGTATATTTGGGATGTTGTAGGATATTCCAAAACTCCTCACTATACCTGAAGAAGACCTACACCAGCAATGCAGGGCACTAGAGACAGTGTTGACACATGACGACATGTGCGATATTGATGCGAGTGATTTAGGTGATGAACTGAAAGCCCTTTCAAGATACATTTCAGCAGGATCAACTTCAAAGATTGTTCTGGAATATATGTGCACAGAGAAGATAACCTCTCTCTTTCCAAATGCTTTTGTTGCTCTGCCCATACTTCTAACACTTCCTGTAACAGTTGCCAGTGGAGAACTCAGCTTCTCCAAGCTGAAGTTAATAATAAACACATCTATGCTCCACAATGACACAGGAGAGGCTGGTTGGCCTTGCAACCATCTCAATAGAGCATGAGCTGGCCCAAACTGTGGACCTTCATCAGGAAGCAGTTCAAATCTTTGCAACCAAGAAGGCACGGAAAGCACCACTTTGATTATTCAAACAGATAAAAATGCCAGTGTTTACTATGAAGCCAAGAAAAGTTACATTTGCTGTTCAGGCGTTTGAAAGTTAAGTGTGACTTAAAGTTTTTGAACAAGGCATTTTAAGTTGTTAGTTTTCCTTTATTGGGGTAGGTAGCAGAGCAGTACCATGAGAGGAGTAGAACAGGAAGAAGGCAGAATTGAGACCTTTCAAAGTTTTGGCCAAAGCGAGGGAACATGGGGGCGTCATTTGAGCTCCCCGCCTCATGTGCCAAAATGTTGTTGGCCAGCCTTGGGAATGACAGCAGTGCTGGCTGTGGGGATGACTCCACAGAATGTCATTCTTATTTAAGGTTCTTCATGGTGTCACACATTCTTGTGTTTTGCAGTCAGACTTATATCTAAAAGGTATTAGCCTTTGGGAAGCTCTGCGTTTAATGCAGGTTTAATAGTCACTATATTCTGGTGGTTGGTCAGTCTTTGTGGGATATATTTATAACAACTGAAAAAGAGGCCAGCCATAGATAAGAGAGTTTATCAGCTCCAG